GCCGTTACATGGATTTATCATAGCTTTTTGATGGGCTGTGTTCGAAGAGTGTTCACTGATAGATCAATGTCAGCCTTCAGAGAAGTGTCAAGTGAGGTGCTGCACAGTTCACCCCAATGTCACAAAACTTTTATTGTCATGAAGATCTCTTTAATATTTAGTCAAAATCTCTGCTCCGTAATTTGAATCAGTTACAGTGGTCCCTCAATTTACAACCATAATCAGTTCCAGAAGATGGACATAAGTCAAAATGGTCGTAAGTTGAAGCACCATTTCCCATTGAAATGCATGCGAATGCAATTAAAAAACAAATAAACAAATAAATAAATAAATACTGTAAAACACTGCAAGCTTACCTTACCAGTCCGAAGCCTCCTCTGATTGCACTCACTCACTCTGATCGCCAGCCATGGTGGAGGGCGAAGCCAAGGCGAGTGGCTGGAGCATCCTGGCCAGGCTCAGCCTCCCGGCACCGGGCCACTGCTGCCATCCCCGTAAGAACCTTGTATGAGTGGAAATGTATGTTCCAGTCATGTTAATGGTTGTCTGGATATAAACCACAGGACCCAAGCTTTTGAAGGCTTTAAAAGCCAACCATTATTTGGAATTGTATCCAGAACCGTGCAGTTCTGGATACAAATCCCAGACTGCTCAGCTAGACTAAACCTGAGCAGAATCATCCAAAAATAGCCCTAGGACCATCTGACAATTTGACTAAAGCCATACAACTGTTGAATACAGATAAGAATGTTATAAAACTATCATAGAACAGCTATGTTTTTGATAAACATAATTCTAGAATTGTAGAGATGGAAGGAACCCTATGGATCATCGAATCCATATTGTCAGGAAGGCAGAATGGAGAACTGAATTCTCAACCCAGATACCTAAACCACTAAGCTATCCAGCAGTTTATGTAGCAAGTCATTTTATACTTCTAAGTTGCTCACCTAAACGAATAATTGAAAACACTAGATTCAACAGACTTACTTCTAAGGACTTTATTTTTAATCAGAGCCCAAATCCTGTAGTGTAACTTACACATGAATAAAGGCAATGATATCACCAACATGCAGATTGCTGGTAATTAAAGAGTTCAGGGCTAGCAGGACCTGCCTCCAAGCAATCTCACTGTGTGAGTCTAGTGGACCATAGTTAAAACAGGCCTATTTGAATCAATTGGACTTCTTGAAGAAATTACGCATCAGATTCTCATTGATTAATGAGCTTACTCCAGTGTCATTTACAAAGCTAAGCAACAGATTATGGCCATTGTATACTAACAAAATGTTTATCATGGTGTTGGATAATAAGGAAAGCTTCAGAAGAGGCACAGCCAGTAGAGAAAAATTCAGGATAAAGGCCACATGATTGTGGAAACAATATAAATGCAGGAGCAAGTGATACTTTTAATTGACAATTAAGAATATAAAATAAAATAGTGAGCTTTCAATGATAAATCATCATCTTCAAGGCTGTGCATCAAGTTCTTGTGGACAGTTCCAAACTTAATGTACTGTTCCAAGTTCACATGACAGTGTAGAGGCCAGGTAAGCTTTTTAGACAGAAGCAGCTGCAGCGTCGTGTTGGTTTCAAACTCTTCTCAGCTAGCAATTTGGAATTTATGGCCCATCTCTTAGAACAGGCAGTCTGGGCCCCCTTCTCCCTTTTTGAAACTTGAAGAGTTTCTCTTTAGCTGGAGGAGGGAAGACAGTCCAGTTAACATGGCCTGCTTCTAACAGAGATGGGATTCGGAATTTAGTTAAATCACCAGGAACAGTCAATTAAAGCCAAATAGTTTTACCTGGTGGATGCTCTCTTTAGCATGCAGTACTGCTTGTTTGATGTCAAGAGTCCATGATGTCTAAGAATTCACATTGGTCTTCAGTTGATGTCCTGATTGTCCATTCTATGGCATCTTACAGTTCAGGAAAAGCCAGTACAGTTTATCTCCTTGATGAGATCAAGCTTCCCAGCCTCATTTCAACATCTGAACAGCCATTCAGTTAAACAGGAAAAATTAAAGTAGTATGCTTGCAGTCTAAATCTGCTTCATGCCTACTGAAATGATGTACTACATACCTGTGTAAAGATTTGCCTGGTTCTTATTTACGGTAAATGGGCAATTTTTAAAATACACAAACAAAGGAGGAAGAGGTGTGGGTACTCAGATACAGACATATAGAATTTACACATTCTTAACATCTAATATAACTGGCATTAGAATATTTGTTGCTTTATGCTAACACATTTGTGGCTGAAATCCAGCAGCAAACTGCAACAAGAGTAGTCCCACTGAATCAGTAGGGATTTGGTGATTCAAGACCCGTGCAAGTTTCATTGATCAATGGGTCTATACTAGTTGTGATTTACTGCTGTGTATCTAAACCCGAGGCCTAAGTTCTGCACTGAAGAAATGTTTTGTAATTCACAAAGTTGGCACTGACATAAATTGGTTAGTTTTAAAGATGCCAATTTGTTTGTTTCTGATACAATAACATTGAAGGAACAGTCCCTTTAAGTTTGTCCTGCCAGTAGAACAGCATTTGAAACTCTAAACTGCAGCACCCTCCCTATAACCCATTCCTCTCCCTTTACAGCAATTATAAGCATTCTATGCCCCCAGACCATCAACCTAAAAATAGTTCTCTTGACAACAGAGATGTCAAATTTAAGCAGCAGGATACTGAAGCGCCTTGCGATGCATAGCAGGACTACCCTAATTCTGCAGCCTGGTAATTCAGGAATTCATAGCTGATAAATGGGCAAGCCCTGTCACATTTATCTTCAGTTAGGACTGAAGTGCCAAGGCTTTTATTATTAGACAGCTTTTCACCTGGACGCTGTTTAGTCCTCTACAATATGAACACCATGATGACAGACATCCAATCTAATAGCTCAGGATCCCTCTTCAGGTTCTTCCCACAGCAGCTGACACAGCTCCAAAATGTCTAATTGTCCTGAAATTCTCTCACTTGGCAGCATGGATGTTTTATATTCTTCACGATTGGTTCCCAGCCTGCCAAAGTCTGTGAAAGATTCTACAGCAAACATCAGTGAGTTCAACACCTCCATTTCAGTTTAGGTCCTCAAAGAGGTTGGCGAATATCTTCAGTGGCAGTTGCCCCATCAGATGCTAATAGGAAAAAAATGTTCTATAAACGTTCACCCCTTGCTTTGTGCATACATTCAGGCTATGTACTTTTGTTTTGAGACTTTCACCTAGCAATATATGAACATATATGACTAATCTACATATTTCAATTTGCTTCATTAAATACAAGTAACTTCCAGCAGCTTTCCTGCCAGTGTTTGATTTTAAAAACCCACAGAAATAAGTTTTTCGATACCAGAATATTTTTAGAAAATAGGTTAGAAAGCAGACAATTCTTAGCTAAGCTGGTCACATGTTGCCCAAAGGCCTTGTACCATTCATCCCTGATTAAACATTTGAATGTTAGTTTACAAAACTGTATTAAGCTCTCTATCTTTCAGTGATAAGTTAAAAAGCTCCAATTTGTTTCCTTCCATGATGGAACAAATGGAGCCATATACTTCTTAACTCTGTTTTAGTTTATCAAGGCAATCTGAGAACTTCCACAGATGACTGAACTATCGAGGCCAAGTACTATACAACTTAAAGAACAAAAGAATCTAAACTGATTCTGATTAATATCAGGCATCTTTATCCAAGGTCTGATGTTGCCATGAAAGCTTATGGTGTTTTCTACTTTTGAATGCATGTAACATCACTATTAACCCTACTATGAGGAAAAGCCAAAAGAATGTGAAGTAGTAAAGCTCTTTTAATAATAATTTTTGCCAAGCAATTCTGTTGGCTTTACCAGCAAGTATATATCCACGGCCCAAATAATTTGAAGCTTTGTTGATAGTCAAGTTTAGATCATATTTCTGCATTTACTGTTATGAAATCACCTACGAAGTGGATGCTGATCAATTTTAAGTTTAGAATATATAAAAGGAGGTACATTCAAAAGTACTTAATGTTTTGGAACTTTTTCATATTGGTAGCCTGTGAAATTATATAAATAAATAAATAAATAAATTTTTACTTCCCCCCCCGCCCCAAATTTACACTCATTCCCAATGGCTACAAACCAAAACCATTATTTAAGAAATCAGATTTAAAAGGATTTTTACTCCCCCCCCCCAAATTTACACTGATTCCCAATGGCTACAAACCAAAACTTTATAGAGATCTTATGATCATATAAACCCTGAATCCCATGTGCGCATCAGAGATAATGAATGAAGGCAAACATACCCTCTTCAAATGTTTTTAAGAATGTGCATTTCCATTTTTCTCTGTATATTGCATGACAATCACTTTCTACTTAGAAAGGTCAGCATGAAAACACAAGCAGTGTCTTTTTTTGTAGATCTGACTCAGCAGAGTAAATTACCATGAACTTTTTTCCTATAGAGGTTTATGACTTGATTCATATGCCTTCAGTTACAGAGGACCACGTCATAAAACCATTCCTGGAGCATACTACTTCAGACCGTGGATACAAGATGACATCACTGAACAGATTTTCAAACAGAAAACTGGTAGAAAAGGAGATTACCCTTTTCTTTTCAAAATGCTGACTTTTGAAAACACAAAATTTAAAAACAAACATGAAAAGCATTCAAATTTGCCACTCCTATTGTTTGCAGTGACACAGTTAAGAAACAGTATTACCACTGGCTTGAATCCAGGCTATTTCATGTGCAAATGGGCTGGCATAAGAGGAAACCCCTCCCTTCACAGCAGCCACCTCTGAATGCTACACCAAGGGTTGAAGGACTTTGCTGAATGGAAAGATCTGTTACCAGGAAGATCTCTGAAACCCAGAAATGAGAGAGCCATGACTCATGGATCTAGAGCTTCAACCCCATTCCTAATGTTTGTGAAACCATATTTAGATATTTTCATTATTGATAACATCTGTATATTTAATGGGGATAAATGTTTATATACAAAAGACTCAAACAAATAGTCTAAAAATGTTTTACTAAATACAGCATATACAAGTAAAAAAAAGAGACACAATTCTGCCTATAGACTTCAATTGCAACCACATCAATGGCTCCTTATGTTTATGTTCAAGATTAGCTATTTAAAGATTGAATAAGAGAAATTGCAAAACTCTTAGTGCGCAAATTGCCAGACATTACCAAGCTGCTCGCTGTGCCGCTCATTAAGAAGCTGCTTGCACTTAACTCTGCAACCGGGTGTGTGATCCTAAGCACAACCAGCAACTGGTTAACGAGCAGCAATTTGCTAAGATTTACTTTTCCTTATGCAAACCGGGTAAATTGCGAATAGGATTCTGGCCAATACTTCAAGTATCATACTATTTACTTCTGTCAAGTAGAAGTTTGGCCCACTGCAAGAGTGGATATGTTAGCAACTTTATATGCAGGTGTTTTTTCAGGCTTGTGCTTGAAAGACAAAAGTTCATTTCTCAGCACCCTCCTCTGTTTCACTGTCTTCACTATCACTATCTCTCCCAGGATGTTCAGGCATTTTCCGATGCTCTTCCTCTCCCTCTCCTGCTTTTTGTTTCTCTTCCAAAGTATTCTCTTCTGCAGTTTCCAATGATGTGGTTCTGATTTCAGCTTCTGTTTCCATTTCAGCTTCCTTGCTCTGAATTATTTCACCTTTTTGAGACCGAAGTGTTTCACTTTCTTCAACAAATGCCGGAGGGGGCAAGAAATCCTGCTAACGAGAAAGAAAAATCCTATATAAAATGGTTTGACTTTTATTTAGGAATTATTTCCCACTGTAACAACCTTTGGGTTGAACTAGCCATACTAGATCAGAAGACTTCAATGCAAAGTCATGGCTGACTTTACAGTGGCTGACTTTATAGCCAATGCATGGCTGGAAAGTCAGATGTTGCTTCTAAGGAATTCCCTACGTATTGCTTGCTTACCAGTAATTATTACTGCTGATTTATATGACAGCCTCAGGAAAAAATTCTTTTGTGTGGAGTTCCACATGTCATTCAACAAGTCAGAGAATCCAAAATGAAAGATACTATCTACATGCCTTATGTTCAGTGTGACCCACTGCCTGGTACTTGTCCATCCTCTGGGTTAGGAGGGATGAAAAGTAACATGGAAAAGGCTCTTATATCAATTTTCAGAATGTTTTTGTTGTTGTTCCTAAAGAGAGCCTCTGACATACTAATCATCCATATGAATGGATGGGAGAAGCAAAGATCTTCCATTTTGACGTTTCCCTTATTTTTCACCTTTATTCCCCTCATGTATGTAAGATGGCCTCACAGTCACTGATATTCCAACCAGCAGCTCACTCACCCTGCTCTTCTCTTTCTCTCTCCTTGCTTCCTTGCTCGGCTAGGCCCCCCTTCCCCCTTTCTCTCCTTTCGCCCCACTTACTGGGAGCCTCCTTGCTCAGCTGAGCCAGCCCTGCTCTTTCACATCCTCTTTTTTTCTCCTTGTCACCACCACCTTTTTCCTGAGCCAGACTTGCTTCCTCTCCTCTGCCACTATTACTACATGAGGGAAAAAAACACAAAATAAACTGACCTGAAAGTGGGGGCCCTTTTGTGGTAAACAAAAAGAGCGGAGCACACACAAAAAAAGATTAAAAAGGCACCACACCTCCAAAGAATATGAGCCAAAAGGGAAGCAAACATATCTCCCATGCCCTAGTTGTGTACAAAATTGCAACATGAATCTTATTGGGACCCAAGGAGCCCATTAATATAAGCTCCCTCAAATATTAAACTTCCCACCCCCATTTATTATAGTGAGTTTGGGGGAAGATCCCTGGTGCCACAATTCCTCTCTCTTTAATGTTCATAGTATGCAAAATACCCAAACCAAGAATTTCCATGTGGATCTCTCACTCTAAGTGGCATCTTTAATGTAAACTGAAGGGAGCAAGAAAAAGGTAAGTGGAACCACAGCGACTAAGTTGCCCCTGGGACAAGAGAACATAACATTTTAAAATCACTTCGAAAAGAGGGATAAACATACTATTCAACTTGCTGACCCAAACTGAAAATAGTCTCAACTAGCAAAATATTAATATTATATTCTCACTTTTCCCCACTTTCCTCTTTCTGCCTCTTTACTGAGAATGTACGGTTTTATCAGTCTTGATACTTAAATGATAGCAGAAAGTCCTATCCTGAATCTCCCAAAGTAATCTGTTCCATTGTTTTAAGGGAGCTCTCTTCTACATTGACGTTAAGCAAGTGATCAAATATTCTAAACTCACATTTCTCACAGCCAAGGAAAGATTTGATTTTACACTGACCAATTTGGATAACAACAATCAAACTCTGAAATTACAGTATCTGGAACTTGTAATATGTGGCCAAACTGATTTTGGGGGAGACTAATTATAGGTATTCAGTAACTCTGAATCTCAAATTAGGGATTCCTTTGTCCTTGGCACAATGTATATTTCATGCTGTCGGAAACAAACTAGGACTCCTTCTGTGATGCAGCTGGGACAATTTTTATCCATGCATGATTACTGTCATTCAATTCTTTTTGTAAGCTTGGAATTAATATGATGCTAAAAATAACATCTTAAGAGTACCATGGAGAACACACTCCAAAGCATTTGCTGCAGGTCTATGGGAGAAAAGCATGAAGTTAGTCAATCACTCTATATTGTTAGCGACTGTTTAAACAGAAAATTCTCTTGCTACTTCATCTTCAGAGATATCAATCACTGGAGCTCCCATTCATAATAACAAGCCTGGCTCTAGCAGAACACTAGAATTATTTTGAAGTAAAGTAATAATAATAATAAAACAAAATATAGTACTATCAAAGGATAATAAAAGGCATTAAGTGGTTTTTTTTTCCTTTGCAGAAACTTTTAAATCTCTTTCCCTCCAAAATCAACCCTGAAGCTTTAAAAATCAGAAGAAACCCCAGGTTAATGGTTTGTGTGTTTGGCTCAATATGTAGGTTTTGAAGGGATCAAGACACTGGTGCAGCTGCGCTCACCTTTAATCCCATGTATCTTCTGTGCATGGGTAAAACGCATAAAGTTGTAGCTGCCATGGAATAGTTGTGTTCCTGCTAAACTGTAATTTAAAGTGTGGACATGAATGAACCTAGCCTTTCCCTGGGATTCTGCACTCCCTTTGAGAAGGAGTCAGAAAAACGTTCATTTCCACTTTTGATTACATATAGGCTACCACAGAGATCTGGCTGCCCACTGTGGGACAAAGGGCCCATGGAACTCAGAAAAGCTGTTGGCCATGATGCCCCAAAGTTGCTTTCCTAAGATCTGAGGCTATTAGATTGGCCTTTGGGCAATAGGGCTCGTCTCATATTCTTGAACAAGAGCTTCACAGAATCAGAGCAAATCTTTCTTCACTCCAAAATCCTGCATCCCACAATGACCAACCAGATGAGCTGTTCATTCCATAAGAAAGACATCAAGGTATTTTCTAACGTGTCTCTAGATGTTATACAGAGGCATGCTACTCTTAACACAGAGCTTTTACTTAGGTACCACGTGCAGCAACCTCTTACAGACCTTCAGAATTTTTCTGTTTCCTTTTTAAAGCCATCTAAACTAGTGGCCATTATTTTATCATGATGTAAGTGCTTCCACATTGGAGGAATTCAAGAGAATATTGGACAATCATCTGTCAGATCTGCTTTGATTTGGATTCCTGCACTGAATAGTGTGTTGGACTTGATGGCCTTAAAGACCCCTTCCAACTCAATTATTCCATGATTCTATCTTGTGGCAACACATTCCATAAAGCAACTGTATGCTGGGGGAACCCACTTCTCTGTCATTGTCCTCATACTACTGACTACCAATCAGTTTCACTATATTTTAGTGTTATGGGAGATGCAAGAAATTCTTTCTAGCCAATTCAGACATAAGCTATAATTTTAACATCCATCCCTCCCTCCCTCCCTCCCTCCCCTCCCACTCAACTAGTGAAGCCATTACTCTGTGGCTAACAGAACAAGATCAAATAGCAAGATCTCTTGTTTAAGAATCAGAAATTTCTTGTATTAATATTAGCATTAGTATCCATGTTAATACTATTATTTATTATTAAAAAGGGTAACTACCTCTCAGCCAAGACTACTGGAACAGTCAATATAATGTAGCAAAAAGCACACAAATCTACCCATTTTTATTCACCCCATAAAAATCTGTAAAACAAAACTGTACTTGATTTTCCCAAGAGGTAATGACAAGCTAGAAGGAACAAAAATTAATGTATTCTTATGAGGAAGTACATGAGTAAGGCATGTAGAAATTATTCCAATTGCTACAAACTCCTATTTTTATATACCAACGCCTTTCCTTGAGAATGTGAAGTGAAACAGAAAACCCACTGACCTGAATAAAAGGTACACAGATCAGGACTACCCCCTCTGTACTCTTTAGGAAATATTTTTACCCACTCTGTCCCCAGATCCATGGGGTGTTTACTTGCTTGAAATGTTGTGGATATGCTTTATTTGTTAGTTGCTGTTAGTGGCTTTATGACTTGTATTATCCTATTCTATAAAAGCAAATATGAAATTATGCTGAGTGATCTCTTACTGCTAAAGGTGCTGAGATAAGAGGCTTGCAAATTTGAAGAAAAAACAAAATGAAATACTCATCCAGGCCCTACTACATAGTCACAATTTTTTTTAAAAAAAAATCCTTATAAATTAATTTCATTATCAGAAACAACAGGAGTTTCCAATCAATGGCTGAAATCCATGGCTTACTCTAGTTGTGACCTACAATAGCTTAGGAAGTCACAAGTAGGCTTATTTGAATCATGGGAACTTACTGAGTAGTTGGCTCACTGAATTCTCACTGTTGTGCAACTTCCTACACTAAGCCAAAAGATTTCATTGATTGCATTTGTTGTCGAACAATATTTTCCCAACTTTCAATGGTCCTTACCTGTCTGTGTTGACGAGTAGTTTGTATCATATGCATATACATATTGTATACGAAATTAGCCATTTGGGGCATATTCTTTATAATGTGCACTTGATGAGATGGATGTTCTCCATTCTAGGAAAGAAAAAAGTATTAATATTATCGGTGTAATTCTTTTCAAAATACTGTAATAACGTATTTAGCTTCTAATATTTGTTCTTTTCATACTGTAAGCTGGCTTGGATTCTTTTTAGGAGAGAGGCAGTATAAAATATTTTAGATAAAGAAATATTAAGACAGACCTAAAGCAAAAACCAACAACACAAGAGCTCTTCTGTATTCAAGTAAAAGAATTAATCTTTTCTAAAGAACATATACCATGGAAAAGAATTTCAGTCTTTACACAATAGTCAACAAATTTGAGATAGAGGGTCATACCTGCCGAGCTGTTGGAAAATACTCTGTGGGAATTATATGTAGTTGGAGAGGGCGAGCTGTGAGCTGGCTGAAAGCTGGGGTCAACTCAAAGCAGTTCTGGAACAGTGATACTCTTGCAAAGATATAAAGCCCAAGTCTGGCTCTTGACATAGCAACCACCAGACGCCGAACATCTCTTCAAGAGATAGAAAGGCAACCATTAGTAAAACTATTAAAACATGCTTATGGCTACCTGCAGCTACCAGCTACTTCAGCAAGGAAAACAGTGTATCTAAAGGTATACATTTCCACCTGTAAATACAAGAATTATTACTATTTGTGGATTACCACTATTAAAGAAAGGTATACAAAGCAAAGCTGGATCTTGTCTTACATTCAGCTTGACTATTCACAGAAATCAGGTTAGTACGATTTACTTTTAGATCTGTAAATACAGAGCTCTTCAGGTGTTATCTATTTGTGTATAATCATCATACACAGAAGAGAGTGCTCTCTCATCAGATAGGAAGTTATACTTCCTATCTATATCTAAAAGGTATCATCATATATCTCTAAGGTCCTAGTCAGACAATTCCTTTAATTTCAAGATCTAGTCAATATCTTACAATAATTATTATAGCAGCATTTTTATGCCTCTCACAACTAATGTAATCCCTGAAAGATTTATAAGTGTTTATTTTCATCCTTGAATATTACACAAAATTTCCTTGAATTACTAAGACAAGTCTCCTTAGATATGTTGGTGCCAAGGTTCACAATCGCCTTAAATACATGAAATTTCAGAACATGCACAAATGTATCCAGGTATCCAGAGAGAGTGCTTATTAAAAATGGATGAAGTCATGTATGTCCTTAAAGATAATCACCATAATTTCAAACAGCAAAGACTTACAATTACAAAACTTAAATGCTCATGGAAAAAAAGAGAATGCTTTGACAAATTGAATAACAGATATTAAAATATTTGAGTGTTCAGACTGTGGAAGCACAGGACACTGCCATTGAGACTCAGAGCCCTGTTCTTCTCAGGAGCAGAGCAGAGAGAAAATTCTGAATGGAAATAAGGTAGGCATGCCTTTCCAATCTCCACAGTGGCTCAATGAAGGATAAAACAGGTTCTGTTAAGCTCTTGTGAATCTTCTGCTCATGAGCATACCAGTTATGGTGGGCTTGGGTTGCGGCCTGTAATGACGCTACAATATTACCCTACATACCTCAAATGTCCAACTGCTTTCGTTCGCACAAGGGAGAGGATTATATAATCATTTTGCTGACCTTGAAACCTGTCTACAGTTGTCACCTAGTGGAAAAATTAAGAGAGTGTTAATTCAGTGGCATCTGAATGAGATTTCATGAGAACTTTTGATAGAAACAAAGTGGCCTTTTAGAGCAAAATGTGTCAACCTGAAAAGCTGCTGAAGAGTACTTTGTTATAAACAAAAGGAGGCAAGGGTTCTATGTGATTCTATGAGCTTCCAAACCAACTCCCACAGACCACAGAAATGCATACTGTCTCACCATTAGAACTGATATATTAAAAATAATGTCTTTGTAACTGCATTACAAAAGGTTACCTAAAGGATCGCCTTCTTCCATATGAGCCTGCCCGTCCTCTAAGATCAGGCCAGGAGACACTTCTGAAGGTGCCATCCCTGAAAGAGGTGAGGGGGATGTCATGTTGAAATAGGGCCTTCTCGGCTGTTGCCCCCAACTTTGCAATGCCCTCCCTATGACACTCTTGGCTTTTCGGCACCAGGCGAAGACCTTTCTGTTTAGTCAGCATTTTAATTAAACAGTATTCCCTAGTTGGCCACATGAGCAGCAAGACTTATTAATTTTAATGTTTTAAGAATTATTTTAATATATGATATTTTATATTGTCTTTTAAAATGTTTTTAATGTTTTTAAGTTTTAATGTTGTACGCCGCCCAGAAGCCACTGTTCATGGTGCGGCTAAAAAATATTGTAAATAAATAAATATAAATAAATTATGAAAAAGATCAAATGCTGTAAGTGGAATTTATAGATATTTGCTTATAAATAAATGTGTTGGTGTGGTCTAGTGCACTGGTTCTTAACCTTGGGTTACTCAGGAGTTTTGGATTGCAATTCCCAGAAGCCTTCACCACCTGCTGTGCTGACTGGGGTTTCTGGGAGTTGCAGTTCAAAAGCATC